CTTGGTGAGATGCTCGGTGCGTGTAACTATAAAGTGAAAGGCAAAGACACGCCTATGTGCTTGAGGCGAGCTCAAATGATCCGACAAGGGTAATAATCGACCAAACCTCAACAAAAAGAAAAATATGATACATATTCCGTTGGTGCATGAATTGGTTGCGACATATTTCATTAGGATCTGGTTGTTTAATAATATGAGAACTAAAATTTAAATTTCATTTCTCATATTATTAATTCAAATACATAAGATTTATTGTATTTGATTTGGCCCATAGATTTTATGGCGATAAAGTTGTATTGGTCATCCTTACGCTTGTGTAATTATCGGTGCTAATTGTGTTGGGACACAACCAACACATACAGTGCATAGCATACAGCCATACACCACACGTTATGTTGGAAATATGCCCTAGAGGCAATAATAAATTGGTTATTATTATATTTTCTTGTTCATGATAATCGTTTATTATCCATGCTAGAATTGTATTGATAGGAAACTCAGATACATGTGTGGATACATAGACAACACCATGTCCCTAGTAAGCCTCTGGTTGACTAGCTCGTTAATTAATAGATGGTTACAGTTTCCTGACCATGGACATTGGATGTCGTTGATAACGGGATCACATCATTAGGAGAATGATGTGATGGACAAGACCCAATCCTAAGCCTAGCACAAGGATCGTGTAGTTCGTTCGCTAAAGCTTTTCGAATGTCAAGTATCATTTCCTTAGACCATGAGATTGTGCAACTCCCGGATACCGTAGGAATACTTTGGGTGTGTCAAACGTCACAACGTAACTGGGTGACTATAAAGGTGCACTACGGGTATCTCCGAAAGTGTCTGTTGGGTTGGCACGAATCGAGACTGGGATTTGTCACTTCGTGTGACGGAGAGGTATTTCTGGGCCCATTCGGTAGGACATCATCATAATGTGCACAATGTGATCAAGGAGTTGATCACGGGATGATGTGTTACGGAACGAGTAAAGAGACTTGCCGGTAACGAGATTGAACAAGGTATCGGGATACTGACGATCGAATCTCGGGCAAGTATCGTACCGATAGACAAAGGGAATTGTATGCGGGATTGATTGAATCCTCGACATCGTGGTTCATCCGATGAGATCATCGAGGAGCATGTGGGAGCCAACATGGGTATCCAGATCCCGCTGTTGGTTATTGGCCGGAGAGTCGTCTCGGTCATGTCTACGTGTCTCCCGAACCCGTAGGGTCTACACACTTAAGGTTCGGTGACGCTAGGGTTCTAGAGATATTAGTATGCGGTAACCCGAAAGTTGTTCGGAGTCCCGGATGAGATCTCGGACGTCACGAGGAGTTCCGGAATGGTCCGGAGGTAAAGAATTATATATAGAAAGTGCTATTTCGGCCATCGGGACAAGTTTCGGGTCACCGGTATTGTACCGGGACCATCGGAAGGGTCCCGGGGGTCCACCGGGTGGGGCCACCTATCCCGGAGGGCCCCATGAGCTGAAGTGGGAAGGGATCCAGCCCAAAGTGGGCTGGGGCGCCACTTTCCTCTAGGGCCCATGCGCCTAGGGTGGAAAAACCCTAGGGGAAGAGTCCCAAAGGGGGAAGGCACCCCCTAGGTGCCTTGGGGAGGAGGGACTCCTCCCTTGGCCGCCGCCCCCCTAGGAGATTGCATCTCCTAGGGCCGGCGCTCCCTCCCTAGGCTCCCTATATATAGTGGGGGAAGGAGGGCCTCTCACCTACGCCTTGGTGCCTCCCTCTCCCTCTCCAACACCTCCTCCTCCTTCATAGAGCTTAGCGAAGCCCTGCCGGAGTACTGCAGCTCCATCACCACCACGCCGTCGTGCTGCTGCTGGAGCCATCTCCATCAACCTCTCCTCCCCCCTTGCTGGATCAAGAAGGAGGAGACGTCGCTGCTCCGTACGTGTGTTGAACGCGGAGGTGCCGTCCGTTCGGCGCTAGGATCGTCGGTGATTTGGATCACGACGAGTACGACTCCATCAACCTCGTTCTCTTGAACGCTTCCGCGCGCGATCTACAAGAGTATGTAGATCCACTCCTCCCTCGTTGCTAGATGACTCCATAGATTGATCTTGGTGACACGTAGGAAAATTTTGAATTATTGCTACGTTCCCCAACACGTTATACATTGGTACCATAAATTTCATTGCACTTGCATAACCAAAGAGGATTAATACAACCCTACCATATGTTTGCATACAATGTTATGCCACATGTATGAGGTTTGCACAATATAACAACAACACTAGTAAAAAGAAGATTTGATGAATTATGGACTCTGTCAACCATGGACAAAGCTAATTAAGCTATGACCGGGGTGTCCACCCCCCCCCCCTCCCATTAAGTCAGGGAGGGGGCTTTTTCCTTTGACCTGTTTATAAAAATACACCACATAAAAATTAGATAATCATCGCCTTGTGTCAATTCTAAAACCCGGTCGATTTAGTTTGCTCCATCTAGTTTCCATGTTTGTGTTTATCATCACATAATATTTTGATCCACTTTGCTTTTCACCCAAGCTCACCGTAGCGATAAGTCTAATGTTGATGGGCAGTGAATGAAGGCGATCTGCAGCCCCACTCAAGTTGCTATTTTAGTGATATCATGTTATGCATTTGCTCTACCTCAGGAGGAATTCTAAAGGTTTTGGAAGATTTTTTGGAACATCATTTTTCACGGTTACCTTCTCATCACTGAACTGGAATAACTCGATCGGTAGCACCATACAACAATTTTCATTCAAACCTGCCCATTTTAATCCCTATGCATTCCAAAAAACATAGCCATGTGGATTCAAATACTTTTGATTGTATTTTAACATACAAGAGGCGGGGTGGTGACTCCGTCATTCTCAAGATTGAAATTGCACATTTGATCTACCGATGGTTGATTAGTGTCGGGATTCGGGCGGGCATCGTACAAAAATGTCCTACATCCAGCGGTGTTCCTCACGACCCGCCGGCTCGGCCTTGCAGATGTGCTCATAGAGATAGGGTCTACATGTGTAAAAGACGAGTGTACGTGTGTATATGTGAGCGTTTGTAATGTACTGTGTTTATACAAAAAAACATAAAAGAAGCGGAGAAGTTCACATGATTTGAACTGCTAAATAATGATGTTCATGAGCGAAAGATGAGAATAAGAATGACCAAGAACAGAAATTGTCGCCACAAACATAATTGGTGAAATTGGGGCATGAAAAAGGGAACTACAGACTTCTGCCAGTAATCTATACCAATATAAAAAGGCCCAAAGGGGCAGATCCAATTGATCTCGGTCATCGAACTAAGTTAATCCAACGACCTAGACTGCTCCAATGGTGAGCGTTAAACGTGTTTAATGTGCAATTAATATCATACCAAATATTACACTAATCACAGAATTAACACACAAATAACGACATACCTAATATCCACGTGCAATTAATATATTATTTAAATATTAACGTAAGTTGCACGTGCGCATTTACTAGTTATAATAAATAAAACAATGTGCATCTCCAGTATTCCGTCACACAAACCTCCAACAAAGTTTCTAATTCGTTCAGAAGCATCTAGCATGTGTAGGGAACAACAATGGGCAACCTTTGAAGTCAATTGCAGACATACTCCCTCCTTTTTGGTTTATAAGACTCAATTTAAAAATCTCACCAACCAAAGTAGATGATGAGTGGTGGAATATTTTTTATAATTTGCAAAAGCACCCAATTAATGCTCTTGTTTTTCTCAAAAAATTATGTTTACGAATGCATTAATTGCAATGCATGCATGCATTGGTCAGTTTTTCTCTCAGTACTTGCATGCAATGATTTAATGCACCTTGAAGTCTGAACATGTGATGGGGAACAACCAAATTGAGCCTTATAAAATGAAAAAACTAAAATTTTGAGATAAGCCCTATAAACCGAAAAGGAGGGAGTAACCAGTAAGACATATTTCGTAGCCTTGAGTCCGAAAAAAAGTCCAAACCAGTTTTCCATTTGAAGCAACAGGCTGCTTATTCTCTTTTCAGTCCCAATAGCTATTCCAACGTCATTGCAGGTTGTATACCGTGCGAGGGTTTGGCCCTAGCATGAACACACTGTATCCACACACTGTCTTTTTCGCCAAAGAACCTACTCTTATGATATTTCATACTGTATATTGCTATTGGCACCTAAGCATAGCCATAGCGCTGTGAGACCATCATGCTGTATGAGTTATCCATAATTTTGACAACCCAACGTCAAGAAGATCGGACAAGCCACAAACAAGGTCATATTTAACTATGAAAATGTTAAAATTACCAACGTCAGATTTTTTAAGCATTGCAAAACAAACGTTCTATATGGCAATTTGTGTTGTTGTGAGGATGACAATTTCCTTTAGCAAGCACGGCAAATCCTGGCAAAAAACTGAACATTGCCAGGATTTGCCATGCTTGCTAAAGGATTGACATCCTCGTGACAACATAATTTGCTATAAAAAAAACTTTCATTTTGCCATGCTTAGATATCTGACGTTTGCTGGTTATCAAAGCGCTTTAATTATTGCTCTCGCATCCGTGCGTGGCTCTCTACTGGGAATTTACATGTACAACGGTGTGTGGTCGGTCACAAGTCCTACCAAAATTCTGCTCCCCGTGCGTGCAGCTACTACCAGTTCCATAACAGAACGGGGAAGACAAAAATAAAGAATGGGAACCAGTGGAACTACGTAACCTATTTTTGTATGAGCATGAAGAAAAACTGTTCCGTGTCCAGCCCGTGTCCTCCAGCTTCGCCAAGCTCCTTTGGAGAGGGGAGATCCGGGGGTTGGAGGAAAGAATGCATATTCACAACCACGGCGCCTTCACGCTTCGTCTCCTCTGCAGCAAGAATGTGACATGCTCGCCTCTTGTCGGATTGCCGCGAGAGAAAACATGGTGTATCAGCACTGATGGACCGGATCTTGCAGCTGACGTGATCGATTCATTCGTATATCTCTTTTGGTTCTTCCGGTTTTACTACTGTTATTGTCCCAGCGGCTTTTGTTTGTAACCCAACTTCTGCCTCTCTAGCAACTTCACCTTGCTCTTGAGCTTCTTGTCCAGTTTCTTAATGTATTTCTCTTCCCTTTCACGGTCGGCAATTCCCGGCCAGAACACTTGGCCAGTTAACGGCCACAGCCATTGGTCCTTCCCGGGGCGCATGCCGTCATCCGCTTCCTCTGCTAGATCCTCGTCCATGCTTTTCAGGAGGGTGAAATCGAAGAACTTCACCCACATCTCGTTTCTTTCCTCGCGCAGATGCTGCTCTTTGCTCTCTCCACTGACAGGGTTAAGGTACACCATCTTCCTTCCACTGTGATAAGCCCAGATATTTACAAGGATTTCCAGGATTCGACAATAGCAGTGCCTTTTCTGAGGTAAAGATGATGGCTGCGTTGAGATGGCATCTATATTGAATTATAAAGACAAGTTAGGGGGGGAAATGGTCACCTCAGGTTGTGATGCTCCAAGCAAGCATGAAGCTGGCTCGGTATTGTTTCCATTCAAGCTATGAAGCGAATCAACAAACATCCTGCAAAACATGACTCAATGAAAATAATGAACACATAAAGATAAGTGAATACCTCCTGAAAATATGGATCATTACCTCGTGAACATGATGAACTTTAAAAATGACGGGGTGGGCATTACCCAACTATGAAGAGTAGACCAATAATCGCCATCATTAGGCATTGGCGGCAGGGCTGCAACGCCCTCTGGTAATCCGTACATATTCCTAAATGCGTCCTCAAAAAGAGTTCTGCCAAATAATAATGAAGGTAAAGCCTAAGCAAGCAGATTGGAATAGAGCATTGTATAAATCTCTTGCCTAATACACCATGGCAGCTACATCGTCAAACAATGATGCAAAAGGTAGGAACAAATAGCACAGGTCCCTTCAGATCAAGTTTGAAGCAAAGGATAAATGTAATAGTACACCAAAGACAAAATGATTTGGGGAGTGGTTCCTCACCCTACCGCCTGAACTCAAAGGAACATAACCAAAAAAAGCTAAATAGAAACATGCGAAGACTTCAAAAGGCACCTGCAATGACCAGCATTTAGGCAATCACACGTTGACCAAAAGTTGGATGTTTGATCAGTATACATTGGCACCCAGTAGTATATAACATCCTCATGATTTTCCCCAGCCATAGTTTTCTCTAAGGTTTCTTCAGCACTTTCAGACAAGGAAACCTGATGAGAGAAAAAGATTAAAAACATAATCATATTCAGAGAATGCACAGTTGATATTTATGCCAGTCTCCAAAAAAATAATATAGGCAAAATGTACTTTTTTAGTACATAGTATTAAGCTGCAATAATATCAGATATCAAATTCAGAGAATGCACCATTATGACCAGCGGAACTATTGCTGCTTAAAAATATAATTATGTAGGATCATTGCTGCGTGAATGAATGACTGAAACGAAAAGTTACTTAATAGCTTTACTGGAGCAGGCCGTATAAATAGATATTGTCCACCCAGAAAACCTAAAATACCAGGGTATTTAAATTTGACCTGTGTGTTCAGGGTGTAGAAAAGTTTCTATAGCAGCATATACTGGACATAACACAAGAGAAGAACAAATTGACTTCCATAGTTCCATGGTTAAAATAAAATGATTGCAGAATCTGAACTCCTTTTCTTCCTGGAAGAATACAAGTTTCTCAACAAGTTCACAAAACTAATATGGCCAAAAGTGACACAGGACTGAGGAAAATCAATGAGAAATTCATAATTTGTACCTTCCTTCCAGCAGCTCGCCATGACTGGAAACCTATCCACGGTAACTTATGTACAGTATCAATTCTGTTCGCAATGGCAAACATAGCACCAAATTCACAAAGAAGATCACGATAGTACGCATCGTCTAGAACCGAAAGCCGCATAACAGCATCAACATCATCTGATCTGGGTCTCCTGCCTCCTTTTGACTGACACAAAATTTATCCAAAAAAAAAATCAGAAGTGGTGAATGCAACTTTAACTAGCAAGACCAACAGGTAGGAATAATACAATAAAGCATTGTGCCAATAAACATACATGAACTTTAAAATTTAATTGCTAGAACGGCTAGCAATTCCAATGAACTCCAAATTTTGATTCTTTAAAAATAACAATTAAACAAAGTGGAAATGATCCACACTGCCAAACTGAAAACAGAAGTTGAACACACAAGCACAGTTAGGTCAAACTGTGCCCGGACTTACAAGAGTAATGCCACGATATAAAGAACCATGGTGTAAAAATGGCCATGCGCCCTCTCCACGGTAAATCTCATATATACAGATGGGCTGCCCGGTTCTTTCCAGTTCACCTTCATCACGTTCATTTCCTTCAGGCTTCATCCTTTCCGATTTTCGGGCATTTCTGTACACCACATCCCATGTTAACAGAGGTTTTTCCACCCTTTCATCAATCTACATAGCACAAAAGTATATGAAATTTTGTCCAGAATATTACATTTTAGTATTGTTCAAGAAGAGGGGTTATGTTAAAACAACAACGAAAAACTCACCTCCTCCATTTCTCTCATCTCAATGTCTTCAAAGATTTCAACTTCACTTAGATCATCCCAATCAGACTGGCTAGGGTAGTCATATGAAGAAGTATCATTGCTATCAGAATCGATTGTCCAATTACTTTGAGCGGATTCCCCTAAGAGAATACCAGCAATTCTTGTGTGGATATGTCTTTCATCTTCTGAAGAACTATTGCCCAGTGCAGCTTTCGACTCGAAAGGATCCCATAACCATGTCCTCTCTTTAACTTGAGAGAAGGAAAGTGGTAATCTTGCATCTGAAGGATAGTGCAACACACTTTCAAGAAGCTTAACATGAGCAACAATACAATCATATGCTAACATGTTTTTTGAAAGTAGCTTCCCCTCCAAAGCAACAGAATAGGCAGTGTCCAAAAGTCCCTTTTCTCCTAAAATCCGCATGAAAGCTGAAGCTGCTGTGCTTGGGTCATCAGAATTAAAAAGGAAGGCATGAATACCATCAGTAACCTGAAAATAACAAACATGTTTGTGAAAAGGATCTCCCAACACAACAGTGGCAAAAGCAAATACTCCCTCTGTAAGCAAATGTAGGACGTTTTTGCAGTTTAAATTAAACTGCAAAAACGTCTTACATTTGTGTACAGAGGGAGTAACATATTATGGAATGGATTAAGTAGCATACATATTTTGTTATAACAGTTAGATTTGGCGCAATGATTGGAATTTCAGAGGACATAGACCGCAATAACAAAGGAGGGAAACCAGGTTCCTGTCTTAAAGATCCATAGAGAACAATATCAACGAACATTAGCAGGTTTCCGATATCATGTGTCATGGGGAAATGCTTTACAGAATCATCAGGAAATCCCATATGAGATGCAAGTTCCTGTACAAAGAAAAAAAAGGATAGTCAGTGGAGCCAAAGATGACCTGATATGGGACAACCAGTAGCCTCCCTCTCCCATGTGTGTAATGAATCCATTTCACAGCACCTAAATGTTTATCCAAATAAATATATGTCACATATAACATGCCATGCATCAGTGGTCTAGTGCCTTCAGTCAAACATAGGAAGACCTTGTAGTCCGAACTCCTCTAAATAAAAATTGCTATTTTCTACAGTACAAGGCATTTCTGCCGAGATTCACGACAAAAATAGTTTATAATATTACCTGGAAAGCAGAGTTATAGGCGTCAGTGCCATTTCCACAGAAAAAGATGAACTGCACTCCCAATTTTTTAGTTCTTGCCATGTCCATGACATGTGGAGCTGATGCACGCAAGACTGTTACGTAATCCCATGGTAATTCATCAAAGAACAGGTAGCTCCCAACAACCAAAACAACAATATCTTCTTCTTTGATTCCATGTTGATTCCTTATAGTTCCTTGAGAATGTGACAAGCCGTATCGTTTAGCAGCCCAGATATCAATCGGAGAACCAGGAATCACCAAGAAATTCCCAGTATCAAGTGGAGAGTATAATAACTAAAATCAGAAAGATAAAAGTCAGATAAAGGCTATGCTCATCTTTAGTTTAATTATTTCAGAATACAAAGTTGGGGCAACACATACAGGGAGGTGGCTATCTGGAAACACAACGTTAGTGCATGCATTAAAATGAGCTCGCCAATCTTCAATATGATTTGGAACGGACAGATGCGGCTCCGGATAATTCCTAAGGTGCTGCCCAACAGCATCATCATGAATAAGCCAAACCACTGGTAGAAGTCGAAAAGGTTCCTGCATAAGACTGAACACAACATAAACGTGCTGAGTTGGAAAACAAATAATGTTGAGATAAAGGGGAAAGAAAATCCAAAATGGTAAAACAAAACAATAACTCGTTTAATAACACAAAATTTAGTCAAACGGCAGAATTGGAGCAGTTGTCATTTTAGGGTGTGTTTGGTTTTTGGTTGGACTGGAATGGAACGGGTTCGTTCTGCACCCGGTCAATATTCCTGTGTTTGGTTGAGGAATATACCCGTGAGATGCGGAACGCACCAATACTTCCGAATCGGTGGATTACATCGTTCCGCCTCCGCCCCTGAGGCTCTCCTCTCCCTCTTGTCTCTCCACTCTCAGCCGCCGCTCTGCCATCTCATCTCTCCAGCTCGTCTTTCTCCCTCACAGCCGGCCGTTTTGTCTCTCCCAGCGATAGGAGGAGCGGCCGTTCTGCCGCCGGCACATCTGGGCGAAGGAAGGAGGAGTGGCCGTCCTGCCGCAGGCACATCTGTGCGGCGGCAGCGGCTAAGGAGGAGCGGAGCAGTGGCCAGCTTGGGCGGTGCAGCGGCAGCGGAAGGAGCAGCATCAAGCATGGGCTGCGGCAGTGGTTGGCGGTTGCCGGTGGTGGCCTCACCTGCTAGGTGGCTGCCGGACGCTGCACAAATCAATTTGTTGAGCAGCACAGCATGAGCAGCTCGCGCAGCGCGAGCAGACGGCGGTGTAACACACATCCGGGTACTGGCCGGCGACTTGGAGAGAAATTGGCATACGGCGGCTACATCACGGGAGAGAATCGGGCTCTGCTCCATCGTCCACTCTCACTTGTGTGTTCGCCAGAAACTATTGATAATCACATACATGGATATTTGTACATGTTTGTTGTTGCCTTTTGCAATTGTATATTTGTGCATGCCCGTGGACCATTTATTGAGGATTCTTTCTAAATTTATTAGAAAACATATGATTGTGTATAGACTATTGATGTCATTTATTTGGCATGTTATGAAGCATAATACAAATTGTTGGTGATGAAAAAAAACTGTTGTTCTGAAATTCAAATAAAATGCTTATGAAAATATAATTACGTTGCATATATTGCCAGAAAAGCAAACACTAATTTGAACATTTCTCATTTCATTCCACCAACCAAACACCGAGACGTAACAGTTCTGTTCCACCTCATTATTCGTACCAAAGACAGGGATGGAACCACTCCATTCCTGTCGAATGGAAGTATGGAATAATTACATTCCGTTCCACTTGGTACTTCAACCAAACACACCCTTAGTTATCAGCAGAACCGGAATGCTTCTAGTACAACCAGAACTATTTCATTTTGGGAAGATTTGTCTTTGTCAGACACCTGTATCGCAATTATTACATTGTGCTCACATCAGAGCATATACAACCTTCCACCCAACCAATTACGTGGAATTCCATAACTAATCAGAACTCTACAGCTAGATAACAATAATGTTCAAAAGGTTCCATCATTTTCCTAGAGCATTTCATTTAAAGTGCTATATGAGACCATGACTAAGCTAAAGTAGATTAACTGTTCCAGGAGTTGATATTCCGATTTCTGGAAACATAATGTTGACTCCAGTCCAAAATCAGCAAAAACAACCAACTAAAACAGTCATAAAATGATGCAATTAAGTCTTAAAAGCTGTACAGATGGTTAAAAAAAAGTGGTGCAATTAACTAATATTAGTTTGTACTTTGTAGTCAAAATTGCCAAATTTTTTGCAACAGTAAGTTGACTATACCAGGTGGTCATAAACAAAGGTTGCAAATAAAGGAATTAGTTGATACAGTTATATATGATGCATACTGTTTTAGCTAAATTAGACATGGAGAAAAACAATATAACTGTATCTAAAATTGTACTGTGTCTCAAAAGAAACAAATCACTGGCTCACATTGAAACAACCCTTTTCCCTTCAAGAGAGCTTACGAGCACAGCATTGTATCTACAAAATCAGGTGCAGAGAGTATAAGCACCAAGAGATTAGTAAGAATAGCATGTAAATAAAGGGAAATGTTACATGTTAAGTGTTCAGTACTCACTTTGACCAATCGACATACTTCAGCTTCTCAAAGCTCACAACATTTACATGGCAAATAGTTTTCCAAATATCGTGAGCTTTCCCATCCGTGAATGCTAAAACCTGCCCCATAGCAACTCAGTCAACAAAAAAAGGTGCAAAGTTTTCTTGACATGGGATAAACTGGCCACCACCAGTTATAGATTACTCTCAGTCTACGCTTGTCGCAATTCGAAATATGCAACCAAGTGACAACTGGACTTTCACCAAAGAAGCCATCTGTCTACAGTGTTTCATTGCCATTGCAAAGCAACTCACCTCAACCTCGTATCTGAGTCCCACAAGACTTTTTGCCAAGGTAGTGAGCATCAGGGATTCTGCGTCTATGTTCATACTTCCCACAACCTGAAACAATGCAAGAGCCAAACTCAACTCCATGGCATGCGGCTGCAACAAAAATAATTCATACGTACGAGACTTGACCAATAAAAAAAAACCAACTACCCAAGCAAACACGAGGTGCATAGGTAAGCATGTTTGTTCCTCCGCCCAATAATCTCTGATCAGTACAGATAAAATGATAAATAATTGTCTTTTTCTTTGGCGAGGGGATTGAAACTGTCCACGTTTCACCTGGGTAAACTCCAAGCAGAGCTCCACTAGATATATAGATTTAAAATGAGCATTCCTCACCGGAACCGAAATTTTGGAACTGATGCAGCTAAGCTACGAGGTACTGAGCGCGAATTATATAGAGTATATATTTAAGTAGCGCGAGAGCGAGGGAACAGGCAGACTCACGAGCGCTAGCCTGACGGGCTCGAGGCCGGGCCACCAGCGGCGCGCGGATCTCGCGGCCTCGAGGCGGCTCTCGGTGTCGAACGCGCGCAGCACCATGCGGGAGGCCGAGAACCGCATCGTCCCTCCCCCGTCTGGTGGCGGCGGCGCCCCCTCCCCGTCCGCCGCAGCGTCGCCGTCGCCGATGGGGAGTAGCTGCCAGACGACGAGCAGGGAGGCCGTGAAGAGCGCGACGAGGAGGGCGAAGAACAGGTGGCTCGGGCGGCACGACAGTCCGGGTCGCCGCCGCCTCCGCACGGCGCCCGCGGCGGCGGCCGACGTGGGCCCACCAGCGCCCGCGGCGGGGAGGTGGTGGGCGGCGTCGGAGTGGGCCCCGCGCCGCCACATTGGAGCGGCGGCGGCGGCGGCGATCGGAGAGCCGCCTCGTCCCGGGGGGGCAGTGGCTTGGCTGGCTGGGCTGGGTCAGTGGGAGCTGCGCGTTGTTGCTACCATGCCCATGCGACTCGTCACCAGCCCACGAGTAGGGGTTTGATCGACTCGGGGTTGGTTCGGGTGCGGGTTTGGATTTGGCGGCGCGTCACGAGGGAGGGGGAGAAGGAGGAGTGAGGAGCAGGGTTGGGATCGATCAAGCGAATTGCCGAGCCGAGCAACCGCCGCGCCGCGGGGGGGAACGAACGAATCTGTGGACTTGCGTGGCCGTGAGAGCCCGAGCAGGACGCACTACCTTTCCTCTACCTCTGTCTCGCTGTAGCGTACATAGAAATATCGTATAATTCGTAGTAGTATTTGTGTTATTATTATTTTTTTGAGACACGCAAGATAAGGGAGGGGCGGTTGTGATTATGTTAAAATAGAAATGAATATTTGAACCAACCTGTGGTTGGATGGTTAGAAGGACTGTGTATCCCTAGCCATCAGGGTTCTAATCATGATGCTCGCATTTATTCTTGAATTTATTTCAGCATTTTCGGCGATGCGCATTTAGTGAGAGACTGGGAGGAAACGTTCCCACTGATGACGAGGTGTCTACAGTGACTTCATAAATTTCAAGATGATAGCGTCGACCGACCGGCCAGAATTCAGAACGGTGGCCTCGGGCGCCGCCCAGTCGGCTCACGTGTAGTCATTGGATTAAAACAGCACCGTGCGTCCAAAAACAGCATCAACGTCAATACAAGGTGCGCGCGGGAATAAAACACAGTGTGTCATGCTCCCATCCCCATCTTCACATGCCCGCATGTCTGGCGACTTGGCCGTTGGCGCCGCTCTACCCGTCGCCGAGCTTCGGTGGCGGCCGACGAGGTCACTGGTTGCAGCAACTCGAGCCTCCCAGGATCATCGTGTCGTATCCGTGGTCGTAGCGTCCCTAGTCACGTTGTCCCAACATGTCGTCCGTGGGCGTGTCGCAGTGCTGCCCCACATTTTGGGAGCCACAACATACGGTCCGCACACTGATATGTGAGCTGGTCATCCAAATCTAATCACGAACGTCTAATCACATTTAATGCAAATTTAAACAAACTAAACAACTTTCGTTCAAACTCAGATAATTTTTGTATAAAAACGGGTGGGGAATAAAACACAGTGTCTCATGCTTCCATCCCCATCTTCACATGCCCGCATGTCTGGCGACTTGGTCGTTGGCGTCACTGTACCCGTCGCCGAGCTGCGGTGGCTGTCGACGAGGCTGCTGGTTGCAGCAACTCGAGCCTCCCCAGGATCATCGTGTCGTATCCGTGGTCGTAGCGCCCCTAGTCACATTGTCCCAACACATCGCTCGTGGTCGTGTCGCGGTGATGCCCCACGTTTTTTGAGCCACAACACACAGTCCGGAAATTGATACGGGAGATGGTCATCCAAATCTAATCACAAACTTCCAATCACATTTAATGCAAATTTAAACAAACTAAACAACTTTCGTTCAAACTGAGATAATTTTTGCATAAAAAATGGTGATTTTCATCTAAATCATAGTATATTCATTATATTCTTGACATATTTCAACTAAATTATAGAGCATTAGGCTATTGTAACCTAGCCTAAACAATCTTTGGCGCCCGTTTCTCGCAACATGTCTTCCCCTAGTCCGGCAGCAAGCTCATCGGCCGACCATGAGCCGCGGGAACCGAAGCTTCAACGTGAGGGGAAGAATAGTGGCTTCCGCCTTGGTAAAACGGGCAAGCTCACCGGTTGTGAGGCCCGGGAAGACAGTGGTGATGGCCTCCCATGTTCTACTTTTCCTTGCTATCGGCGGCGGCCTTGACGTGCCGGCCTAGCGGCTGACGCGAGCTAGCGACGTTGTCAGTGTCGTCATCAAATTCCTCCGCCACTGTTTCGATCTCCGCGAGCATAGCGTCTTTCCGCTCACAACGGATGTCGCGGGCGGTGCGGTAGGCAACGCCTTCTGCTCATCCATGTCCGCCGCCATGCCCGTGACAGCGTTGGCGGTCGCCTGGCCGCGGGCGATTTGCTGTTCCACAAACCAGTGCTCGTCGAGGAGTTGGAGACTGTACCTCTGGTCGGCCTACCGGAACACCGCCTCCCGTTCTTCAACCACCATGTCAATGTAGTGTACCCGCGCCTCACCCATGGTGATGCCGACATGGACCGGCGAGGGCGGTGGCGCCGGCTCATCGTTGGACGCCTCTCTATTGGCTTATCCGCGTCGCTGCACTCTAGAGAGCTCGTCGACAAGCGAACTTGTATCCAGTCGGCTGCAATGCCAGAGAGCTCCTGATTCGGCTCGTCCGGTAGGCTCTTCCATAGGGCTTTGGAGCTCGAGGCCATGACAGATGTGGTGCAAAGAGGAGACCGGGAGCGGAGGTGTGATGCCGCTGTTGCCGGCCTGGCCATGTTTAAATAGTAGACGGATATCAGGCCAAGCGACAGGGAGTGTAATGTCTGTTGACAGACAGACGAACGGGTGGCGTTCGCATGTGGGCGTCGGGTAGGTTCCTTGGCACCCGCACTTGTTTGAAGGATGGAGAAGGCGCGTACAGGGCACGGCGCCGACGAAGCTTTTGGCCGGCGCGCCATTTCAATACTGACGCGCGGCTTCAATGCCGTGTTGGTCCGGTCATCCAGACGGTTGGAGGGTTGGAGATGCACTTAGCTAATTTATGACTAGGTATAAGTATAACAGATGTTGTGAAACATAACACATAGACCAGCTCAAAAAAAGCAACAGTCATTGACAGTACAAATCAGATCATGTTACAAAAATCGCACGCACGGACATTTTAGAAGCAAAACAAAGACGCACATGTATGCTAGCGTCGAACCATCCAGATCCCGTAGAAAACATAAACCAAAACACCAGAACTGATCATTCCAGCGCGAAGCTAGAGATGAGTCGATCAGGAGCAGCTCTTGTCGTCGCCGTCGACGTCGCACTGCGTGAAGGTGGCGTAGTAGGGCCCTGCCGAGTAGGCGACCTCGGTGGGGCTGACCCGCGAGGGGCGGTACGGCTTCTCGCCGGTCGTGCCGCCGTTGAAGTTGGTGAGCACGGCGCAGCCCTTGTCCCCCGACCTGACGAGGCGGACGAGGCAGTGGGCCGGGTCGAGGCGGCAGCTGCCGCCGTCGTGGGCGTATGGCACCTCCACCTTGAAGACCCCCTCCTCGTCCGTCGTGTCCGTGCGGTGGATCACCGTCCGCCCCGTGTGCTCGTCCAGGCACGTCACCGCCACCACGCTGCCTGCGAACCATCACAGCATACATATTCGTCGGTCATGTCGTCGTCCGGTCGCCGGCGGGGAGCGATGGCTGGTATGTACGTGCTAGAGACAAGTATAGAAGGGTTCAGGCGCACCGTACCGGCGATGGGCTTGGCGTTGTAGGCGTAGGCGTTCCAGTTCTTGGTGCAGTCCTGGCACAGCACGGTGCCCGTCACCGTGAACATGGACGCGCCGTAGCTCTCCCCGGCGTCGGCGCACGTCGCCGCGGCCACCAGCACGTGCGCGGCCAGCATCGACGCTCTCCTCCAAGCCATTGTCGACCAAAGACCAATTAGCAGGCTGCGTGTCAAGCTAGCGCGCGGCGGCTTTATCGTGGAGTGGCCTCCCGGCCATGGTGGTCGACGTGAGCCCAACTCGCCATAGGCTGACGACGACGTGCGCGCCATTTCCGGTGTCGGTACGGCAGAGTAGAATAGCCTCCTCTTGTTGCAGCCACGACAACACCGACGTGGACGCCGCACGCGCTGATGTGACGCCGACACGTGGGCCAGGCGGCCCAACAGCTTACGGTCCCACATGCCAGTGGGTGGTCATCACACGCATCTCCTCTCCCTTCCGCTCACTTTCCCCTCACTGTTCTCAGCTTCTCAACTCCAAGAGTCAAAGCTCCGCCAGCAATGGCCGTCGCGAGCGCCGCCGAGCCGGGAAATCGAGGCGGGAATGGAGAAGAATCCGAACTGGAGCTACTGTCCGCAGCCTAACACTTGGCTCTGATGCTCGATCGGACGAAGCCCTCTCCCGCCATGAGAGACCCGAAGCTCAAGACAGCAAGAGCCCACAAGCCGCGCCACTGCCACCTCCTCGACAGGCTCAGGAAGCGCCACTTCTACAGGTGGCGGTGGCTCCTCTGGCTGGCCGTCTCCGCCTACCTCCTCCTCCCGGCGCTGCCCCCCTCCCTCCGCGGCCCCGGCTCCGAGCCCCTCCCCGGCGTCCGGATCTACGCCTACGACCTCCCGCCGCGCTTCAACCGGGGCTGGGCGGCCGCCGACGCGCGGTGCGCGCGCCACCTCTTCGCCGCCGAGGTGGCCGTGCACGAGGCGCTGCTGCTGCGGCAGCGGCGCGCGGGCCTGCGCCCCGAGGAGGCCGACCTCTTCCTCGTGCCCGTCTACGTCTGCTGCAACTTCTCCACGCCCACGGGGCTCCCGTCGCTGGCGCACGCGCGCGGGCTGCTGGCCGACGCCGTCGGCCTCGTCCGCGCCCAGATGCCCTTCTGGAACCGCTCCGCCGGGGCCGACCACGTCTTCGTCGCGGCGCACGACTTCGGCGCCTGCTTCCACCCCATGGTGACACACCGCTGCTCGATCCAACCTCCAATCCCTAGCTGTTTGCTGCAGTGCTTGCTGGTTGCATTCTCGCGTCTGATTTTGCTGCATAATGGTTGATCGATCAGGAGGATGTGGCAATGGCGGCCGGTATCCCGGAGTTCTTGAAGAGGTCGATCCTGCTGCAGACATTTGGCGTGCAGGGCCGGCACCCATGCCAGGACGTGGAGCATGTGGTGCTCCCGCCGTACGTGCCGCCTGAGGTGGCTCCTCGGGAGCTGCCGGAACCGGAGAAGGCGCGTCGCGACATCTTTGCCTTCTTCCGGGGCAAGATGGAGGTCCATCCCAAGAACATCAGTGGCCACTTCTACAGCAGGTAAGCATCCACTTGGCCAGGAGTACATTGCCTCACGAAATTCATCATGTTCAGAACTTCAGATAACAATTCGGCTCGATTACTCAGCGTTGCAGTTTACAACTTACACTTTGCACTTGGGCCAGGAAGGTGAGGACTGAACTACTGCGGCTGTATGGCCGCAACGGCAAGTTCCATCTGAAGCGGAAACGGTACGACGGCTACCGGGCGGAGATGGCGCGCTCCATGTTCTGCCTCTGCCCGCTGGGGTGGGCGCCATGGAGCCCTCGCCTCGTGGAGTCGGTCCTCCTGGGCTGCATCCCCGTCATCATCGCCGACAACATACGCCTGCCGTTCCCCGGCGTCCTCCGGTGGCCGGACATCTCGCTGCAGGTGGCGGAGAGGGACGTGGCCGGCCTCGAGGCGGTGCTTGACCACGTCGCGGCGACCAACCTGACGACGATACAGAGGAACTTGTGGGACCCCGTGAAGCGGAAGGCGCTGGTTTTTAACCGCCCGATGGAGGAGGGAGACGCCACCTGGCAGGTGCTCAAGGAGCTTGAGGCGAAGCTGGAGCCGTTGCGACGGCAGGGGCGGAGGAGGTGAGGCAACGGAGAGTGGTACCGTCGCCATTCCTGAATGTGAACCTCTTCTCCGACTTCACTTGTTGCGTTGATATGTTCATATGTGCTCTACTCCCATCTCATCAGAAATGAATTGGTAACATATTATCTACTTACTGAATGGCATTGCACGCATGCAGGATCCATATCTAGCACTGACACGTCCTGCCCGCGCTCCCTCGAAGCCGTGCTGTGAAGGGCGGTACCGAATCCAAGGACAAAGATCTAAACCTTTCATCTGAGCGAAGTGATTCCTCAAGGTCAGGTTAAACAAGTGAATCATCGGTTGCAAACACGAGAGCAAGCGATCGAAAAGGAGGAGAAAGAACCACGATAATCGGATGTCGAAGCCAGCTTTCCTGGTTGAGATTATCATTTGGAATAAAAGGTCACTAGAGCTCAGGCTGTTGAAATTGGTCCCTGGTAGAGGAAGCCATCAGTGGCAGTGGAATTCGTACGTGCGCAGGGAAGAGAACACAAGCAAGCACAACACGCTGGAGGTGACATAGGGCATGGTCGTCGCCTCCGCCGTGCGGGTTGTTCCGATGCCGGTTCACTGCCTATAGCGCCAGCATGGGCCAGGAGGAAGTCTTGTTGCCGCCGATGGCGCGATCAAGCTCTCACGCCGTGCTGTTTCTGTTGAAAGTTCCGAGCAGCTGGTGCTTTCCGCTGGGGCGTGGCGCAGTGGCGACCGAGTCGCAGGAAGGTGTTCTTCACGCCTTAGAAAGCCGGTAGGAGCTATGGTGAGCTTGACCTGGGCTTGAGTAAGATGGAAGTCCCGTCGCCAGGTCGCTCTTCCTCCCTAGTTTCCTGAGAAAAGATTTTCCTGCGGACGAGGTGCCTGGCGAAGTGGCGAGGCTGGTGCCAGCACTGGTTAATAGCAGGACCTAGTGGCAAGTTGCTTCTGAAATGGTAGTGTTCGGGAGCTCACTGTTTAATTGGCATAATCTCCTTTCTGGTAGTCGAATTTGTTCATCAAGTGGTGTTTACTTTGTGCAAACTGACAATATGATTCGTTCTCTTACTCGACTCTTGTCCCCCGAATTGAAAACGACACAAATTCAAAAGGCCATGCCCATCGAAATTGATGCACAAAATCATTCCTCTTTCATAACTTGTTCGGAATTACGTCGACAGGGCCCCAAAACAAAGTGAAACTCAAGGGTGCAGAAAAACAAGAGCAAGTGTTTGCAAGCCATAATAACTGAAATAAAATACGTAACACAGAAGAGAACAAACCAGGAGCCCACATCTCGTGACCAATGAGTTCCTCTTCCTCCCCAGTACATGGGTTCTATTCTCTACGTCTTCAGAGGAGCAGCATTTGGCCTTTTCATCCTCTACCTATGTTGAGTAGCAGAGGCACACTAAATTTGGGGAAAATATATTTTATATGAACTTGGCATCATAGCATGTACTCTGTCCTGCACTTTCATGCCATGAACTGCAATTAATTTCATTTCCACAAGTTTGAGACAAGTCAAAACAGCCAGAAAACTGACTAACCACAAGCCACTCTTTGCAAGTTCACATATACCAAACTTAAACCAAGATATCAGCATCTCTAACTCTGTCAGTTGTCATCCTCATCCTCATTATCTTGCAGCAGAGCTCCTCGCACTCTTGCCCTAAAGAAAGAATAGCATACATTAGAGCCAGTCTACTACTATCCGATGTATTAAACTCTATTCACATCAAAGTACTGTTTCAAGGATTGTTGTACAACCTCCGAGACGTGGGGGCTACCCTCTTCGTGACTTTAGCAGGAGGGGCTTTACTAGGTGAAGGTACTGCAGATTTGCAATTGCATTAGCTGATACAGTACTATGTTATCCTAACTTGCAATTCTACATGAAGAAGCATGATCACCTGATATTTGCTGCTGCACAGGAGCTGTAACTTGATCAGAGCCCAGAGTCACAGCAGACACACTTGGAACCTGATCTGCCAACAGCTTTGGCTTTGTTGCCTTTCTTTTGTCTAGGAAAGAAAGAGATTCGAGTTGTTTTTGCATGATTTCGTTCTTTTCCTGTGACATGAAACTATTAGAAACATCCCAGCAATTTACATTCCCATAGTCCAACTATTGAGCAAAACAAAACTACACAGGGATTGCTTCTCCGTTATACAGAATACATGCTCATAACTCTGAAGAAACATCACATGCAAACGACATATCACAAGGAACCTCAAACGATATATGGAGTGCTTATCAAAACTGGGTCAATCGAGAAACCAGGATGTTTGAGCTTTCATGAAAGCTTTTGAGAGAAAGAATGGACTGCGGAATGTAAGCATTCATATACAGTGAATTTCCACAGATCATGCTTTAATGTGCAAAAACATGCCATGTAGACTTTGGAGTAACAAAACCTTGTACAATGGAAAGCTGTTAAACTACACTGTTGAAAACTATTCGACAGTTTAACAAGAAAATACGCAGATTCAGTGAGCGAGACTCATGATACCATTTGCACCACTGTATTCGTCAAGCAGCAGCAATGGCAACACGAACAACACTAGTTCGGAAGTATAGGTTAGGAGTTAGGAGATAAGATGACCTACTCTTTCAGTTGACAGACTCCCCATCAGCTGTGACATTTGTTCTTGTTCTGCATAACAAATAAATAGCAGATCCTGAGTATAGTTTGAGTCACAGTTTGATGTTTTGTGAGCGACAAACGAACTACCAGATAGGCAATTAAGCGTACAAAACAGCAAGCAACAACAACCTTTGGATACAAGCTCCCGTGCAGTCCTATAAGCTCCGTAGAGCGCTAGCGAGAACTCGGCTATGACATCACTCGTCGCAGCGCCAGTAACACTATGGAGAGAAATGGTGATGCGAGGCAGGCCCTTTGCCTTGGTAGCCACAAGCTTTGCACCGTCAGAACCTGAACCAAGCAAAGATGGCATTATCAATTATGTAATGTTTGCCACAGGTGAGATGAATATTTGGGGAATTTGAAGTGGGCATGCCGGTTGACTTGCGGAGTTTGTCGGTGTCGAAGAGCAGCTTCACCTCGCCGGAGGACAAGGAGGACTTGAGGTAATCCAGGAAGTCGGCCCAGGAGCCCCCGATTCCAACATCGTCTCTCTTGGATGGAGAATCTTTGTGTTAGCACCAGTTGGATGCAGATAGGTGCAGACGAGGGCGAGTGAGGAAGGGGGAGCTTACGAGGTCGTCGAGGTCGGAGACGGAGAGGGAGCAGTCCCAGGCGAGGGAGTAGCAGTCGGTGGCGACGACGCGGAGGGCGGCGGCGGAGCGGGCGTGGGCGCGGAAGAGGGTGGGGCGCGCGGTGGGGTGGCCCTCCGGCTTGGCTTCGCCGTAGACCGCGCCGAACGCGTCCTCCAGGTCCACCGCCGCCGCCATCTCGCAGCTGGACCGGACGGCGACGACGAGCTGAGGAGGCGGAGGGGCGGGCGCCGTCTCTTTCCTCTCGTCCTCTGGGTTTGACTCGACCACATCATAGTTACGTGACGCGCACTAGAAAGCGTAATTACGTGCTAACAGTAGTTTACATATTCTGTATTGAAAGCATCTCTACTCCTATATTCTACTCCTAAAGGGACAGTCTGTTGCAGTGATGGTACGTTCGTAAGTCGTCGTTTGCTTCCATCGTTCATCGTTCTCTATCCTTTCATGCGTTAGAGCTAGCGATCTCCAAACCCTAATCGATATAAATCAATACCCTCATGGTAAGTGGAACTTACCTATCTACGAGGTCTTCTTTCCTTCCTTCCGGAGCACCCAATTACCTCTCTCTAATATGCTCCTCCTCCCGATGCTTCGTCCTCCACCTTCACTGACCACACAGGCCATTGCCACCTGCCGCTCATTCGACCTTCGTCCTTGCTACTCTTCCTTAACTCTCATGTTGCTTCGGGCCTCTCTTCCTCCACCACAGAAATAGTGGTGACTTGAGGAATGAAGCAACATCTCCACCACATGAGGGATGGCGGCATGTTGGGAACAGAAGCGCCACAGTCATGGCAGAGCGGGCTCCCGGCGAACTCCTCAATGTGCCCTTCTTATTCCCTCTGCCCGCTGCTCACTCCTGCATCTCTCCCTGGGGTGGAAGCCTTAATGACGGCAACCATGACACCTTCCTTGACCTGCAATAGCACCAAGCACCGGCGGAACCTACACCTTCTCTAACTACCATGCCCCCATGCGTCCCCGCGACGAGTGCCTGGCTCCCACCGAATGTCCATGGCAAGGATCTGCGGTGGAAATGAAACACGTCGGGAGAGGGACGGTTATTGATGCTAGCAGGAAGGCACGAGAAGGCGTGTGGAGACCTCGAGCTCTTTGGACGTGCCTGGAGGCGGGCGGTGTATGGCAGAGCATAGAGCCTTGGCAATGTTGGCAGTAGGGTGCTTGGTGGATTAGGGTTCCTCAACGGTTCTCTTCATCTGTTGCCGATTGCAAGCGTGATTTAGGTCTATGTAATGCTTTGATTGTTGGATTTGAGATTATGTATTGTTCTCTACATATGCTCACATTTGAATCTATAACCAGTTTGAGGTTGCCCACACCAACCTACCGATGAGTTGCTTCAACCTGCAGATACAAGCTCATTACCGGCTACAAGGAGAAGACCTTCATGAACCAGGAACAACGAGAAGAGAATGTTTTCTTGCTAATGCTTCTTATCTTCCAGGGTACAACTTTGTTTGACATGTTCTCTTCTTAATATGGATTGAACAATTCCTTCTTGGTGTGGATTTGAATAAGTGATCATCGTTTTTTTTTCTAAAACTTAATTCTCTTGTGCAACACAGCTATGAGCCTACCTCATGATTTGTACAATTGTGCTAGAAAGGGGAAGACACAAACTATGAATGTTGTTGCATGAGCTCCAACATATATAGGTTGGTATTCTGGAATATTGATGCATAGAAATGTAAATATGAAATAAGAGCTCGTTCCGAAATACTGACCGTATGGACCGTAGTTTTAGTAAAGAGGCAACACCTAACATTTTGCTTATATTAAATTATATATGGTCTGACCATGTATCTGCGGGCAAGGCTATAATCTGAGTATGTGCTTTTTGACTGGATCAGGTTTTCAGTCTTTCTTCCTATTCCTGTGACTCCACATTGTTGTAGCAGCCATCTGTACATACGAATGTAGTATGAATATGCTC